TTTTTCACACCTGCTGAGAGGGAGGCCAAAATAACGTACTATAAAAACCACCTATGTAGTCAGCTGGTCTCTGCCTTTCTGCGCCAACGTCCATCCTCAGACACTGTGGGCCCTGTGCGCTCGCGTTCCGCTGCCATGGCAGCAGGGGAGGGGTGGGGTGGTAGGAGCAGTGGCAGCTCCACCAGCAGCGGCTGCCTCAGTCTGCAGTCGATGATGAGTAGCTTTCTTCACCAGCGCAGTGAGGAAACTACTAACCAGCCGCAGCAGCAGCAGCATCAGGTGGACCTGGAGCAGGACCTCAAACAACAGGCTTAGGCCTACTTGGACAGCACCCTGCCAACCGAGGTAGACAATCCCCTTGACTACTGGGCAATGAAACTTGACCTTTGGCCCCAACTAGCTGAATTTGCCCTTGAAAGGCTGTCATGCCCGGCCAGTAGCGTGGCATCGGAGCGCGTGTTTAGTGCGGCAGGAGGTATTGTAACTCCGCGGAGGACACGACTGTCCACCCAAAGTGTGGAGAGACTCACGTTTGTGAAAATGAATCAGGCGTGGATTAGTCTGGATTTCAAACCACCAGTTCCTGACACAACTGACTAAATCCGCCATGAATCATGCCCCAAACATGTGCCACTTTCAGGTCTCCTCACACTGCTGGTGTGTTCCATTTTTTGTCATAGGGTGCTGGCAGATTACGGGCCTCCCATTGCTGCTGCCAGGCCCGTAATCTGCCATGGGCCCCTGTACCGCCTCCTCATGCTGCTGCCAGGTCCAGAGTGTGTCATGGGTCCCTGTACGGCCTCCCATTGCTGCTGTCTCCATCGCCACACTCTGCCATGTGCCACTTTCAGGTCTCCTCACACACTGCTGGTGTGTTCCAATTTTTTGTCATAGGGTGCTGGCAGATTACGGGCCTCCCATAGCTGCTGCCAGGCCCCTAATCTGCCATGGGCCCCTGTACCGCCTCCTCATGCTGCTGCCAGGTCCACAGTGTCTCATGCCATGTGCCACTTTCAGGTCTCCTCACACTGCTGTTGTGTTCCATTTTTTGTCATAGGGTGCTGGCAGATTACGGGCCTCCCATTGCTGCTGCCAGGCCCGTAATCTGCCATGGGCCCCTGTACCGCCTCCTCATGCTGCTGCCAGGTCCAGAGTCTCTCATGGGTCCCTGTACGGCCTCCCATTGCTGCTGTCTCCATCGCCACACTCTGCCATGTGCCACTTTCAGGTCTCCTCACACACTGCTGGTGTGTTCCATTTTTTTGTCATAGGGTGCTGGCAGATTACGGGCCTCCCATTGCTGCTGCCAGGCCCGTAATCTGCCATGGGCCCCCGTACCGACTCCTCATGCTGCTGCCAGGCCCGTAATCTGTCATGGGCCCCTGTTGTCGCTTGTTGGCATATTCCGCTCGTTCAGATGCTCCTTCTCCTGCTACTCCTCTTCACGGATTCCGTCAGCAGTCTTTCTTGGAATACGTTTCCAAGAGACAACAGTTTGCGAGCACGCACCCGGCGGTGCAGAAGCTGAACGTCCTCCTGTCCAAGTTGCTGCTGCCAGGCTCGTAATCTGTCATGCGCCCCTGTACCGCCTCCTCATGCTGCTGCCAGGTCCAGAGTGTGTCATGGGCCCCCGTACCGACTCCTCATGCTGCTGCCAGGCCCGTAATCTGTCATGGGCCCCTGTACCGCCTCCTCATGCTGCTGCCAGGTCCAGAGTGTGTCATGGGTCCCTGTACGGCCTCCCATTGCTGCTGCCAGGCCCGAAATCTGCCATGGGCCCCCGTACCTACTCCTCATGCTGCTGCCAGGCCCGTAATCTGTCATGGGCCCCTGTACCGCCTCCTCATGCTGCTGCCAGGTCCAGAGTGTGTCATGGGTCCCTGTACGGCCTCCCATTGCTGCTGTCTCCATCGCCACACTCTGCCATGTGCCACTTTCAGGTCTCCTCACACTGCTGGTGGTTTCCATTTTTGTCATAGGGTGCTGTATGGCCTCCCATTGCTGCTGCCTCCACCGCCACACTGTGGCTCCACACTCTGGTTTTGGCCCCGTGACTGCCCAAATGAGTGAAGTGTGCGGTGATTCTAAGATCGACGGCACTCATCTGCATGTCATACTGACTGTCAGTATTATTTCTCTTCCCCAGCAGACTCCAAGGGCATTTAAATTAAAGGTACAGTGTTCTGCACTAATATAAAGGCTCTCTGAAGCCTAGAAACACCCTTTTATAAGTTAAATTCGCAGCGAATATATTCGACTCGAATCGAAATTTTTCCACGAATTCGCCGAATCAGTCGAATCGAATTTTTGAATACTTCGCTCATCTCTAGTTGTGACTTAGATGACGTTCAGAGCACATTTTATGCCCAATTCATGCAAAACTCCACGTAATCCCAAGCAGTTCACATACTTTTTCTTGCAACTGTAGATGTAGAAAGTTACGCTTTTGTCAGGTTGGTCACTTGTTGACTGCCTGAAATAGAGCAAGAATTTTTTTTTTTTCAGTTTAGGATAGAGTGGAGATGGAACTGCTTTTACTGATATCTGTGCCCCCACATTATGGAGATTCACCCTCTCTAATTGTCCTGTTTATCATTGAAAGTAAAAATTAAAAAAAATACCACATTTTTGGGTGACACTTGAACAATAATAGAGGAGAAATCTTCCAAGGGGGACACTAGTTCTGGTGACCATGCTGACACCCCAGGTTTCCCTCACTTTAAGGGCATTTTCTCTCACTTCCTGTTTTGGCTATGAGACAGATGGCAAAAAGTCTGACAGGGGTTATCATCCTCTCTTAATCTATCCAAAATTAATAGAAATTACTTTAGTTACACTTTAAGATGGGTTCCTGCTCTGGTGCAAGGGATGCATCCTCACTCGAAGGCTGAATTTTATGCAGGCCTTCAGAAGAGTAGATGTTTGCCTGCTGTTTAGAGTTGTCTTTGTTTTGCCTGGTCTCCGCCATAGCTAGAAGTGATGGTTTTCCTTGTAGGGTACTCATGGAGCAAAGCTTGACAGATAATTCAAGCATGTCCTGTCGGAGTATTCAGTAACCCAAGTGTACACCATACTGCAGTGAACCCTCATACCAAAAGGGCAGGAGGAAGCACCTGAGTACTTTATGAGGGCAGTGGGTAGAACTGGATGTAAAGTGTGTGACCAGAAGTGTGACGTAACACCTAGTCATCCACCTGAGACTGAATTCTAAATAGATTAGTTTTAGCACCAAGTTGAAAAGTTTACAATGTGAAGTGAATACAGTTCAATCATAACTCTGTTTACACAGTAATGGTCAGAGTCTTTTCCCATTTACGACACTGGACTATATATAAAGACCAGGCTTTGCTCATCATGGTATCCCTAAACAGGTCTTCAGGGATTGGGTTCCACAGCAATTGACCATGGCTCTGAATCTGTATAGCACCCTGTATCTAGCTCAATGCATTTCACCAAGTGATAAGTTTAACACCCCATGCAGGATTCAGTGCCAGAACAACATTACAGATTGTCCCCACAATGTGGATTCCAGGTACACCTCCCAAAGTTTTGCCAAGGTTGCACTGATCCAGATACACTGCTTCTCTGCAGGTATTAGAAGATAGTGAGGTTGACTGAAGAATTCTTAAAGTGTTATAAAAGCCAAAACTAAAAATGTAATATATTGAATCTTACCAGTCATTACATGCAGTGGCTGCACATATACCACATTAAGAAAATAAAGAAAAATAACAAATCTGTGTAGGTGATTGGTCTGGCAAGCAGACACTGATCACTTATAGATACTAGCACAAAACTGAGGACTCATGGAGTGGGATAGGGAAGGCACCCCAGGAGTATCCAATAACCTGAAAGTATGAACCTATAACTCATGGTGTATGAATAAGGTACCGGTGTCTTGTACTGTATCGTTAAGATAAATCACATGCACTTTTTCTGAAAGTGTAAAAATAACAAAACAAAATAACAAAAAAGGCTCATTTAGAGCTATTTGAGAAGCAGAGGATTTTTTTTTACCATATCTAATGGGTCATACTGGAGAGTAAGATACTAGAATGATTGAATATTTTCACAGTATTACAAAAGTACATTTTATGCAATTTTTTACAATTAAACCTAGTGCCTGAAAGAAACATTGCCAAATTATCAGGGTAAGCATTATAGCCATGTTATATGGCTAATTTAACCAGAATAATTGGACAGGGTCATGTTAACAGGTACAGAGGGATGCCATATTGTATGATAAAATATTTTTGAACGCAATTTAGCTAAAGATGTTCAATGACTGGTGTCAAGCAGGTGTGCCCTCATGTCCCAAATGCCATTAGCCTACACCACTGCTAGGCAGATGCCAAGAAAAATGTTTGTCTTGGTTAAATATTCATTTTATGTCACTGGAGAGACAGTGAGCATCACTGGAGAGGGGATGGGAGGATGAGTATTGCTTTAAAGTGGGAAGAAAAAGGAGAGGAGTGATACTATAGAGATGTGAGGCAGAAGACATGAACCATACTATAAAGAAGGGAGGCAGAGGAGAGGAATGACAAAATGGAGAAGGGAGGTGGAAGAGATGAGTGATACAATGGGAAGGAAACTTTGGTAGAGAGCAGGCATAGGATATGAACACTGCTATGTAAACATACACAATAACATGTCTACACTATACATAAAATATATATTAGCCCCACCTTTGGACCCAACATACAGTACTAACAGATGAAGCAGCGATGCTTTCCTTTTCCTTCAGGTAAGACCTGCAGTGCTCACATTCATGTGGCCTGGAAGTATAGTGAACGTTGTACTAATCCCGGCATCTAAATAAGCTGATTTGCAGAACATAAGAAGTTAGCCCGCATGACAGGGGGTTGCTTTTGAGACAGATGAATGATATACGGCTTTAAACCTGATGTTATTTTGCCCATAGTTGGGCTTTAAGCCTAGTGGTGAAATTCTATTGGTTCAATTTATGTATGTTTATGCGCGTGTTTCTTTTTCCTCAGATGTCCAGTTTCTTTGTCATGATGGTGGTCATGGTAACTATGCTGTCCCTTGGTACCTATTTACTACCCTTGCCCAAGGTATACATGATTTTCTTATTTATTCTTTCCACCACTGTCCTTTCATGTTATAGTCAACCTGTTTTTTTTTTTTTAATTGTATGTGTGAGTGTAAGGATAAAAACATAGCAGATGAAGGAATGACAACATTAGCATTCTACCAAGTTCTGTAGAGAAATAGTTCAATTACATATTCATTGGTTTAATTCTCAATTATTTTTCTTCACCTTGTATTGTATATCATGTAAGTCTGTGTTGCTTTGTCTTCAGGCTGTCCTAGGAGCTTTGATAGCAGTGAACCTTAAGAATTCTCTGAAGCAACTTGCTGACCCTTTCTACCTTTGGAGCAAAAGCAAACTTGATTGTGTAAGTTCTATAGTTGAACTTCTATTTCGTAATACACATGTATCCCCTCTAAACTAGCACATCAGCAAGTATATACATAGCCTGTTTTGAAATGGTCACTGATATGTTGTACATGCATGTGTATGAAGGAGTAAAAAAAGGGGTGGGTGGATTCCAACAATAGTGTGTAAGTCATGTCCGCATGACTGGATTGTCATATTTAAGAAAGGCAGAGCCTGCAAAATTGCATTTTCCCTGAAAACTTTCAGATACACTTGTAAAACTAGATTAAATTAAACTACCAATAAAATATTTCTTAGCTCTTCTCATCACAAAAAATGACAGGTGATCAGATAAAGCGGAATATATATATATATATATATATATATATATATAAATAAATAAAAAAAATAAATAAACCCTTTCATTTCCAGAGCCGTTTTTTGCATCCTTTTTTTTTTGCCACATATGTTAAAGCGGAGCTCCACTCAAAAGGCTTTATGGCTTCGTCCCCCGCTCCCCATTAAGGATTGGAACCTTTGGGGAGTGGGGGAGGAGGAGGTAATGGAATTTGCCAGGCACCCGCTCCCACTTCCACTACGATTGCCTAGGTGATCAGAAGCTGAAGTTGTCCTCCCCGCCTCCCTCCCCATAGTCTTCTGGGACACGTGACAGATCCCAGAAGGCTACGGGACCATTCACAAAGGGCTGTGCTACTCACGCATGTGCAGTGGGCACTAGGCTGTGAAGTCACCACCTGTCACAGCTGGGTGCCCACACTGAAGATACAGGGGGACAGAGGACAGTCGCTGAATCCAGCTGGTGTGAGGACCCCATAGAATCGAGGGACAGGTGAGTGTCTGTTTTTTAAAAGTCAGCAGCTACAGTTTTTGCAATGAAATTTTTGTCCTTTTTTTCCCAAAAATAGAGCTTTCTTTCTGTGGTATTTGATCACCTCTGCAATTTTTATTTTTTTGCGCTATAAACAAAAAAAGACCGACAATTTTGAAAAAAAAAAACTATATCTTTTTACTTTTTGCTATAAAACATATCCAGTAAAAAAATGTTAAAAATCAAATTTCATCATAAATTTAGGCCAAAATGTATTCTGCTACATGCCTTTGCTAAAAAAATCCCAATACATGTAAGTTAATTGGTTTATGTGAAAGATATGGCATCTACAAAATGGCGGGATATATACTGGACTTTTTATTTTATTTTTTTTTTTACTGGTAATGGCGGCAATCAGCAATTTATAGCAGGACTACGGTGGGCATTCTGACACTGGGTGGGAACTGACTAACTGACACTGACATCCCAATAACACTAATACAGTAATCAGTGCTAATAAAAAGCACTGATATTGTACTAATGACATTGGACAGGAAAGGGTTAACTGTGTGCTGTTTTACATAAAGTGCTGTGTGTGTTTTACTAGGGAAACATGTTGCTGTGTATTTCTCTGCTGTGCTGTGAAGAGAAAAATACACAGCTGCATGTATGAGGTCTCTACCCTGTCAGTGTTACTCAGGGATCACCAGGTGCTGGCAGAGAATCTCCAGCCGGGACCCGGTGATTAACATCTGTAGCCGCCAATGGCAGGTCAAGTAGGGTGGCACGCACATGCACCCCCTACCTGGATATGCAAATCATGTATATATATATACCTGATTTTGCACAGCCCTGCCACCCTGTAGCAGTTCTTCTGCTATAGGGTGGAGGGAAAGCGGTTAATATATAAGTGACAAAATGTTTTTCACTCCGGGGGGCATTCACGGGAGGGAAGTTTAGGGCACAAATGTTTGCTAATTTTCCTCCTTTCTACCTGATGAGTCTGCAGGTTGGATATTGGGGGAAGGGTGGCACTTTCCAATGTTTGTGGAAGAGATCAAGCAGCTTTACAGTCACCCAAATTACTTGCATTAGATAGTTCCACTGGTTGGCTTGACAAGTTTATGCAAGTGTAAAGAACTGGCTAAATGAGAATTCTTACAGACATATGAATGCGTTGTTGTTGTAAAAGCATGTCCATGTAAAAGCTGTCTGTGTATCAATGACAAAGGCTGTAACTTAAAACACTGGCTTCAGATTTGGCCACAACTAGAAAAATTTTGCAGCAGCAGTTTTAACAGCTGTTCAACTTAGCAGTTGATATACAGCATATATACCTATATTGTATATATTTTCATGTATTTCATTATTTATTTTAGTTATTGATTGTTTAAATGCTATTTAACAAAAAGAGTTATATTTATATGGGTGTCTTAAATAACAGTGCTTGGGTCATAAACGAAATGCCAAAACTATTCTATTAGAGTATGACATTTCATTTATGATTCATAAAATGAAACTTTATCAGAAATATCAACACATATTCAATGTCAATGAATGAAAAATAGGGACATTGGCATTTCTGAACATAAAATTGCTGCATTCTCATATTTTATTTGTGCTATGTGTATGGAAATATTTGTTATGGTTCTCTGGTCTCTCTTTCTCTGGTCAGTGGGGAATGTGAAGGTCATATGATGAGGATGTTGTCAGGCCTGCAACTTGGAGCAGAGCCCTATTCCTTATCAGTTCAATATTTTTATCTAGTGAACAAGTAAAATAAATAATGAGAAAAATTATTGAGCTGGTAAGGAGCGAAAAGAGAGGGAGACATATGTACTGTGAAGTACTAAGCATATGTTGTCTCATAATGAAAGCCAAGTGCCTAATGCATTTTTCTCAGTTTCCCAGATTGTTGTGTGGCAGCAGACAACATTGGCTGAGTGTTCTTAGAAGTGTAAGAAATGATCTGAGTTGGATATTTTTTCTAAGCATACGCAAAACAAGTTTACATATGCCCTAGGGTCCCTTGTATCTCAGAATGATTTGTTGAGTGAGCAGAAAACATGAATGACATACAGTACAATACAAACATTAAAAAGAAAAAAAATATTTCATGGACAAAGTTTTTAAAATTTTGAAGTCATTTTTGTTATTTTGTGTGTAGTGCAGTCTTATCGTCTTTGTTTCAATAAGTATGCAGGTACAGTTCATACCTAAATCTCATGACACCCCTAAAAAAACCCAGTAATACAGTGAAACAGACAATGGTAAACAATATGCAGCTATATTCATTGGCAGCTGCATGCTGAAAGTAAGAAAAATGTCTGTATGTAGATGAACAGTCTTTTCTTGAATATGCAATACAGTCTACCTCCTCATGAAAATTAACAGGTAGCTGCAGTAATATAATCCTAGAAATATGAAAGACAATGACTATAGCACAAGGAACCTCTTTGCAGAGGCCATGTACATTTACAGTATAGCAGTCAGCTCTCCTCAGTCCTCTTAGGCAGACATAAGAAACCGGAGGAACAACAGAAGTTACCAGGATCTCTCCCTGAAGTCTCACTCAGCTACCTTCTTCAAAAAGCTTCTCTTAATGAACCATTTCTTCCCAGCCTCCCTTACATTCCTCCCTCTGATGTCACACACTCTGCAGACTAGCATGTGTCTTTTATTTCTTTAGGTAGCCTATAGAAGTAAATTGTGGTGGCCATCTTGGAATAGTCTAAAATCCATTGCTGGCAAGCTGTTAAAGCAGAATTTTATCCATATCTACTTTATAAAAAAATAATGTTTTTTTTAGCAAGGAACATACATTCCACATTAATAATTATGCTGCTAAAATTAGTGTGCTCTGTAAATTGTCTCCAGAATTGTTCCTGTTGCTTGTAGCCTGAGGCTGCCATTTTGATGAAGTGCAGAACCCCTGAGCAGCAGTAAATATTTAGGCTGTCAGCAGATCAGCCTCTACAATTTTGGCAAACTGTTGAAAAATAGACAGCAACTGGACATGTGCAGAGCAGGGTGAGACAGTGTATTTCTGGATTTAAAACAGTATAAGCACTTATTTGTAATGTTTTACATAGCTATACCTGCTAAAGAGGCCAGCATGAAGTGATCTAGCAGGACTGAATTTTCTGATTAAAGTTCCACTTTGAACAGTGGCGGAAGATTAACTAAAACATGAGCATGCACAATCTGGAGCATACTAACCAGATCAGCTTCTAGGTTTTATTGTCAAAGCGTAATTGAACAAGCTTAAGTTAGAAATGACTTTCTCTAAAAAGATCTAAAGTTCTGACATAGCCCAAATGGGCATATGCTCATTGTGTAGTGACTGGAATACTACATGTTGGTGCTTCTTCTGAGGAATTGATTATTGCCATTTCGACTGTGATGAGTATTAGATGCTTTTCTATACCCTAATCCATTTCTCATCGGTAGCCTGTCCCCTTTTTTGATGAATAGCCTTGCCAAGGGATGAGTATCTCCATGAAAAACATCCACTTGTTTTCAGAGCCTCCACAGTCAACACATAGAGACGGTCTTTCCTTGGTCTCTTCTTTACTCAGAGCTAGTAAAGAAGCTTGCAAAGTAACAATGTCGCAGCATGCCTGGGGTAAGCTCTTTTCTGTCAAATGTATCTTCAGGGCCCAGCATCCCTTTTATTAATAACAGGCTGCAAATTGGAACATAGTCCTATATCCAGGTCAAGGAATTTCTTCTCACTCATGTGGACATGGCATGAGTGCTTCAGAATAGGCAATCTACATCTCTATTCGGATGTCCTGGATGATATATCAGACTGAAGTTATGGTTGTATAAAGCAGAAATCCTGCTATCAGTCTAGACTTCAAATTCAGCTCCATAGAGGTAGTCATTCAGTTTGTCTATTAGAGCCCACTTCAAAGTAAGGAATTTTAGTTCATGTGCTGGGTAGTTGTTTACTGAGATAAGGATCAGTTGGTGAATGCCATTAATCTCAGCTTCCTTTAATGCTCCTGGTAGAAGAATTATTTTTAAACTTTCTCTGCTAGCATCTACATACAGGGTGAATGACTTTTCTGAGTCAGCATATGCCAACACTGTTTCATGGGTGATGCAGCACTCGAGTTTTTCAAAAGTCTGTTCTCACTCAGGAATCCAACAATCCTCTTTGCTTAATTTAGAGCCTCATTGGTGCA